CTGCTGTTGACAGCAGCAGTAACAGCAAAAGTACAGGGGCCCATAACGAGGGTCTGGCAGACCCCCCCCCCAGCCCCCGCAATAAACCCTGAAACACCGCTCGATAGACCCATCGAGCAGCACAGCTGCAGCAGCGTCTCCTGCAGCAGCAGCAGCAGCAGCAGCAGCAACAGCAGCAGCAGCAGCAGCAGCAGCAGGAGAAGGGGGAGAGGGGAAGAGAAGTTAGAAGCAGAAGCAGAAGAAACAGCAGCAGGAAGGGTGCAGCAACACTAACAACAGCAACAATCATCTTGCTGCTGCACTTGCTGCTGCTGCAGCAACTGCAGCAGCAAATGCAACACCAGCAGGGCTTAGGGTTTAGGGTTTAGGGTTTAGGGTTTACCCTGCTATACAACAAAACCCCTCCTTTAGAAACCCTCTCTCTCTACTCCCTTCCTCTCTGTACTCCCTTCTCTCTCTAGGGTTTAGGCAAGCTAGTGTATATCCTCTAGGGTTTAGGGTTTAGGGTTTAGGGTTTAGGGTTTACCTTGCTATACAACAAAACCCCTCCCTTTGACGCGCTCTCTCTCTACTCCCTTCTTCTCTCTACTCCCTTCTCTCCCCAGGGTTTAGTGTTTAGTGTTTATCCTCTAGGGTTTAGGGTTTAGGGTTTAGGGTTTACCTTGCTATACAACAAAACCCCTCCCTTCGACGCGCTCTCTCTCCCCCTTCTCTCTACTCCCTTCTCTCTCTAGCCCCTACCCTCTAGCCTCTAGCCTCTAGCATCTAGGGTTTAGGGTTTAGGGTTTAGGGTTTAGGGTTTAGGGTTTACCTTGCTATACAACAAAACCCCTCCCTTTGACGCGCTCTCTATCATCTTGGCGGTGGTGCCGCGCCAAAACCCCGCGGCCCCGCGAGAGGCCCAAATGGCTCTGAACGCCTCCAGAGTGCCCTCGCTCCGGTGTCTGTACACCACAAACCCTAAACCCTAAACCCTAGAAAACCCTAAACCCTAGAAAACAATAAACCCTAGAAAACCCTAAACCCTAGAAAACACTAAATATCAAAAAAAAAAAAAAAAAAAAAAAAAAATTTTG